TTTGGTGTTTTTATTATTCGGATTTTTTGGGGATAAGTTATTACGGATTTACAAAAGTTGGGATTGGACTATTGGAGTATCGTGGAGGCCCAGCACTTTCGAACCCAAGATTTGGGTCTCAGTGTCAGTGATCCAGCACGGCACATTCGTTTCCAGAAACATTGCTCAGACCTTAAAGCAAGATTAAAGCAATTAAAGGGTCAAGTAGCCCTCCATGGGTACAAACCAACCAAAGCCGAAGATCATTCCTAAACTCAAAAGGAGAACATTTATCAAGCCGACCGAGCTAAGAGCTAATCCTCTCGCACGTTTTATTCTAACAAGCATCACTCCCTTCAAACTAAACGTACGCATGTTGACCGTCTTGTCTTCAACTCCCAACTAACAAAGCTTGGTGCAGAAGCAGCGGTGTCGGAAGCCACGGCATCTGCCACCGGAGAACCCTTCATTCCTGCAAACCAGAGCACAGTTGTGGCTGCTAACACAGCCTCCATGAAATTTGTGGCTTTGTGACTCACACATCCTGGCTTCAGTCGGCTGCACTATCTCATCTACATTTCCACAAACACAAAAAGATCGTCGGCAAATCAAATCAAGGAAGGAAACCAAACACTTCTTTACACAAAGAAAGAAGATTCATGTTCTAACAATTGTGTTGTATAATCCATAATCAGATATATAAAAAAAGAGATAGATAGAAGATTGAAGAAAAGTGTATATATATCCTCACGAGAAGCCAAAGCAATGAGGAGCATGAAGAAGATTGCGAACAACTTCCTTGCCATTGTCTTTCAACTTAGGGCCTGTTTGGACTACTCTAAAACTCAAACAGCTGAATGTGCAAGATGTGTGCATATTGTTTCGGTATTTATAGAGGTTTTGGGGAAGTGGGGGAGCTTGGTAAGAGTGAAAGGCCGGTGGTAAAAGGCTTTGTTAAGAGAGAAATTTTGTTTTTGTCTCACAAATCACGTGCGTGCATGTAAACATGCCTAATTATCCCACTCACAATCGTCCTGACTCCTGACGCAGAGCGGACTCAGCCTGTCTTTGCCTTTATCATTGAGTATGGTCCGTGTATATGAACTATAAAAGTATAAAGTTTTAATTTCTTTTTCTTTTTTGCAAATAAAGTGTCCAAAAGGACAGATTTTAATTTACTTATTTATTAAAGGCTAGGGTTTGCTGGGAAACTGTACTCTCTTCTTGGTCTAATGTTATTTGTATGAATACACTAAGAACTAGAAA